CTGCTTTGCCTCGTTGTGCTTCAGGCGTGGCGTTTTTTACAAACCAAAGGTTTGTGGCAACCCTGAACCGAGTGAGTCTGTTGGCACCATTTTTCCAACAGCATGTGCTCACTTCGTGTCTCTGTGTCCCGTTTCAGTCATCGTCACAGTATTTCAAACTTTTCCCTCAAGCTACTGCACACATAATAGACTACAGAATGGTGTAAACATAACTTGTATATGCACCAGGGAAACCAAAACATTTGAGCCACTCACTTTATTGCAATGTTCGCTTTCTTGCAGTCATCTGGAACCAAACCCACAGTATCTCTGAGGTCTGCCTGTGTATTAAATGTCTTACCTTATTATCCCCTCAAGCCTAAAATGCCTGGGTTGGTAAGATGGAACTCGGAATGTGGCAAGTTTTGCTTCTGGTGTGCAAACTCTGAAAAGGGCTCTTTCCCCAACAGGTTGCTTTTAACTTTGACAGAGGAAGAGTTTTCAGGGGCGCCGTTTACGATAGAAAACAGCAGCCACCGCAGGGCCATCCTCATGGAACTGGAGCGCGCCAAAGCTCTCGGTGTGAAGCCCCCCCAGAATCTCTGGGAGTACAAGGTGAACTCTTTTTTGTAATTGATAAAGTTTAGAGAGCAACGTAGCAGTCATCCACACGCCCACTGCTTAGCTACGAAAGAAAACCTGGAAGCCCTGTCGCCCGCCTCTCCAGAGGGGCCACGCCGAGTGGAAGCTGCATGTCCTCCGGGCGTACTTTCCCACTTGGGCGATGACTGTGTGTCCACAGCCAAAGGAGCCCTGGTGGTGCGAACGGTTCAGGGCCCAGCTGCAAACCGAAGGGCTGGTGGTCAGAGCCCACCCAGGAGCTCCACGGGAGAAAGACCTGGCAATCCGCTTCCAGCCAAGAGAACCCTGTGGGGGGGTTCTGCTCCGCCACATGGAGTCACTGAGTCGAAAGCGACTCAGTGGCCCAGCAGCAGCCACACAGCCACCTCAGTGTAAGAGGCAGAAACTGAGCACATCCTTCTGTAAGTTGCTTCCATGAGTTCACGCATTTTCTCTTATGCCCTATTCCATTGGGCAGCACATGACAGTTTATGGCTTCGTCTGCCGATGGGAAGGAGCCCTGGTGGCACAGTGGTTAAGTGCTTGGCTGCTAACTGAGAGGACAGCGGTTCAAGCCCACCAGCCACTGGTTCCATGGAGATTAACCGTCTGCCATCAAGTCCGTTCTGACTCGTAGTGACCCTATAGGACAGAGGGGAACTGCCCCAGAGGGTTTCCAAGGCTGCACATCTTTCTGGAAGCAGACTGCCTCATCTTTCTCCCGAGGAGCTGCTGGTGGGTTTGAACCACCTTAGAAACCCCGTGGAACAGCCCTAGTCTGTCCTGTAGGATCACTGTGAGTCAGAGTCCACTTGCTGGCAGTGAGTTGGTGTTTGTTGTTTGTTTCTGTGATGGGCAATGAGATGTTTTCAGTTTTTACCACTAGAAACTGTGCTGACACCT